TTTAAAAAGGATAAATTTAATTAAATCATTTCTATAACTCTTATATACTCCATAAATACTCATATATAAATATACCATGACTTTTTAAGTACAGTTTAGTCATATGAATTGCAAAATTCTAAGCTATATTTGGCATTTTGGTTTAAAGACTTGAAATGACTTGAAGCTCAAAGCAGACAACTTGGACATGGCATTGATTTAAGAGCTAGTGACTTGAGACTCGACTTGGACTTGCCTGTATTTGACTTGGGACTTGACTCAGACTTGAGGTCAAAGACTTGAGACTTACATGAGACTTGCAAAACAACGACTTGATCCCACCTCTGTCGTTCCCTCATCACAAACAGACCTGGAGCTGTGTTTTGTTTCATTTACGCATGTTTAACACAAACTCTGCATATTTAGGCTTCTTAGTCCTTCTAAGAAGCCTGAAAACACTCTATTCCACCTTGTGATGTCATGTGGTAATACAAGAAGTGCTCCATTGTGTTTTTAAACTCCATCATTTGGATAATTACAGATGTGTGCCAGTCTCTACTGCATAAACGTAAATGGAGCTGTTCACTTGAAAACTATTACTTCATGACATCACAAGGTGCAGAGCAGTTTGAGCTTTCAGATGTAGACAGACAAATAATAATGTCTTCATGCAGGTCTGTTTTTGAGGAGGTAACAACATTATAACATGGCTTAAAACTCACAAAAGTCCATTTTGTGTAATATAGGACCTTTAATATTTATATTTTTGCTGTTTTGAATATATTCAGAGTTTAAATAATTCTAAATGAAAATAAAACCATTGATGTTTGTGAAGTATAGTTTTGTCTGCACTGTCTGGTGGTGTAATGGTAATTTGTTGCAAATCATCACACCAGCGATGACTGTCAGCCCACAACAAACAGTGTTATTGTTTATTGTCCCATCCCCCATTTGAGGTTGGATTTGATGGACTTTAATTGTATTTTAATTTGTTCTGGATGTTTTAAAACTCCTGCACTTCATCTTATTGGAAAAAGTGAATTTAGATTTTGTGCATTACACAGGTCCTCTCCAATGTACGGCTATTGAAAGAGAAGTGTGCTTCTTTTTGTCTGGATGTTTTAACTAAAATGGAAGTACATTTGAAAATGAAATTGCATCTCCGTCTCTTGGATTAACTTTAGTGTCATATTGGGTTGGACTTCCCAGACGTTACGTCTAGACGTAACATCTGAAGTAAGTTACTTTTACTCCGAGTCGTTGTCTCCAAATACTTTTTTTAATCTTGCTTAAGTAATTTCTTGGACTGCTACTTTGTACTCCTATTCTATTATTTTGACGTGGGTACAATTTTTGGCCACACTATTCACCTCTGTACACACTACTGGGTTTCAGATTTCAGGTTTTGGGACTAGTCACGAATAGAAATGATCTTACTTTTTGGATATTTGATGACAAAATACAATGTAATTAATGTAATGCACCAGTAGCAGTAGCAGTGAAGCACCAGTAGCAGTAGTAGTGAAGCACCAGTAGCAGTAGTAGTGAAGCACCAGTAGCAGTAGCAGTGAAGCACCAGTAGCAGTAGCAGTGAAGCACCAGTAGCAGTAGCAGTAAAGCACCAGTAGCAGTAGTAGTAGTGATTGTGACGTTGCCTTTGCTCCACAGATTGTTTTGGAGATCCGTAAGGCGGGAGACTTCCGTATCCCGGTGTGGATCATCGTGGGCAGTACTCTGGGGGGTCTGCTGCTGCTCGCTCTGCTCAGCCTGGCTCTGTGGAAGGTCAGAACTCCTCACACTACACCAGGACACCAACTTTGTCTCACACTGCCACCTGTTGGTCATTTAAGAGCCCCCAAATAACCACAAACTCTCTGCTGTTACAGTAGAAGCTTAGTGATACGACTACCTTGGATTCAGTGTCCATCATATTTGATTTATTTTAATATTCTAAATGTTCTGTAATTTTTTATTGGTTACCCAAGAAAAAACATTGTCTGGTATACTCTATTGTTTCTGTAAATTGAGCTGTTGAGTAAAATTAGGAGAATTTTGACTTTTGTTTGTGTTATCCCTCAGTTGTTCAGGTAGCATCCAGAGCAAAGAAGAAATTCAGTTCTGTCATCGGACAAAAGTTTTTTTGGTGAAATACGTTTCAGTCTAGTTGACAGAAGTGAATTTCTCTTTTGCTGCATTCTGACTCAGTTCAAATATGTTAGAATTCCTCATCTAACAAACTGTGGCACCATAATGATCCAAATCAAGACTAACAGTGCTCTGGAAACAAGAATAGTACAAGTCCCTTTGCTCTGATGTGCCATTACACCACATAATGAATATTTTTATGGCAGTAATGTCATGTCACGCCTCACTCTCCCTCTGCAGGATAAACGAGCAGAGTGATTCTCATAGCATGTCCCATGTGTCCATATGTACAGCCTTTTACCATCACACGTGAATCACACTTCTCTCTCAAAGTTTCACATTACTGCATTAAACTCCGTGGAAACAAGCAGACGTTACAGATCAGATCTGTGCAGAGGATGGACTATTTACACTACAAATACATGCAGCAATAAATACACCTGCAACTGCATCAATTCTAAATTGAGTCATTTATTGCCATAATCTCCATGGAGACCAGCAGGTGGCAGACCCTCCAGTAGAAATGTTACCTAGTGTGCCTTTAAAAACTGACAACAGACAGGCAGTGCAAAACTGTACAGCAGAATGTGTACGTATAAGTACTCACTGACAAAGTACTCACTGTGGAGTGGTGGTAAGATATTGTAGCCACAGTCTGCCCTGGGACAGACTGACTCACACTAGGCATGTTGGTGATGTGTCTTGCCTAAGGACACAATCATTTTTGCCCCTGGTGTTCTGACCAGGCCCAGCCCTGCTCAGCTTCTGAAACATGATGAGATATTGTCAGACACTGACAAGGACATACAGCCACAAACTACGATTCAAGTGTTAAACCTGTAATCAGACAAAGCCACAGCAGACTGACTTTTTACACAGAGAATACATGGATAAAGTCAGATGCCCTGCCAGGCTCAGTCTAAACAGTTTTCAGCTAAAGTTTTATAAACTCTAAATTACTAAACTATAAATATTGTGGCCCCTCTCTCAGCTCTAACTGCAGCTGTGCCTCGTCAGATTTGTTCTTAAAAAGTTTGTACTAACCCATTATTTTGTCTGTTAGAAACATCTTATTGGAGCAGACTCCAAATTGGCCCCTGTAAACATTAGCATCGTGAGCTTCATTTGAGTGGAGCCGAACGCTCTGGGTGACGTTAAATCAGCAACGTATGTATATGTAAATGTTACTGTTCTTGTTTCGTGCTGCTCTCATGAACGCGCTGATTTTGGGAAGTCTGATGATTCCCATGAATGTGCACAAGTCCTGGTGGTTTTTAGACTATGGGGAGAGTTTAGACCATAGGGGGCGCCATAGTGTCCTGTCTTACTGGTAACACTGGTTTGTTCTTCTCCTTAGTTGGGCTTCTTCAGGAGACAGAAGCGGCGAGAGGAGGAGGCGGAGCCAGGGCCCAACGCCAAAGTGTCCGAGGAGCGGTAACAGGAACTGAGGCCCCTCGCAGAGCTCCGCGCTGGGACCCACTCTCAGGGACCACCCCCCTTCCTCCCCCCAATGCCCCCTTCCCCCCACGGCCACTGGCACAGGACCACAGCAAGGGCGGCCGTGACACCTGTGACCTTTGACCTGTGCACTGTGGCCTGGGGCTGGTCCCAGTCCTACACAGAGACTCCAGTATAAAGACACTCGTCCAGAGACTCGCTCCTATCTCCTTTGTAATAACACATATTTATTAGACTGTTGTGAAGCAGACGGGAGCGTCACGTCGACCTGCGTCTGTAACATGAAGTATTGTATTTGAAATCTTATGCACATTAATTTATAGAGATACAAAGTGCTGAGGAGGAGATATTTAACCTGCAGACCGAATGTGGAGGAGACAGCTCTGTTCTTCTGTCACGTCTGAGTCTTCTTCAGGACACCACGGACCAGACATGATGCAGCCGTGAAGTGGAACGTCTCCCAGGTTCAGGAGGAACGTTCAGGACGGAGACGGATGATGTTCAGTTTTGGTTGCAAGTAAATCTGTAATGGAGGGTAATGTTTTTCCCCAACCCAGTACTGCCACCAGCTGTTTAGAAGTGATCATGTAAATGTTAGTTTTACACCAACCAAGAAGCAACTTAGTAAAAAAAAAAAACAATAGTTGAAAATTACAGGAAGTAGAGAGTTTGAAAACACACTGATGACATCACACTGGGAGAATTCTGTCCACAGGTTGATAATTTACACACAAGAAACACATTTTTCTTATACTTAAGGCATTATTTCAACTAAATAAAGGTGTTTCTTATATTTGTATTTGACAAATCATACATTAGAGAATTTAGTGTATGAAATGGTTGCTAGGCAACAGTTATGATATTCCATTGTGTTTCAGGATTTTCAACCAGAAAGTAAAATTTGAAACCTGAAAATTTGCCAATAAAAATTTTAAATGTAATGATCTTAAATGTGTTTTAGTCAAATTAGTGGTCCAACCCACAGGTCCTTCAACCATAATTACAGTTCCTAAACCTAAGGCTAATCCCAACCTCAACCAGACTGTGAAATGTGTGTGAAATCATGAAAATAAATATTTGCTGCATAGCCAGCAGTACAGAGTGGTGCAACTGTGGCATCGCTGGGTTTGGGGAAAAGAGCAGAGGTGAGACAGGGCTGCACAATATTCCACAAACCAAATGAAACTATAGTTTCACAATCACAAAGAGTGCAATGATTCAGATAACAGAAGGTCCTGTGTCCTGTGTGTTTTTATAGGAGAAAAGTGTCGCTGTAGTTTAGATCTCTACAAACCTGCTCTGACGTGCATGGGATTCTTGTATTTGTTTATGATTTCAGATTTCTCTCAGATGTTAATGCTCCTGGACTGGTTTACACTGTGCACTATGAACTATTCTACATTTTTTTAAACATGAACCACGACTCTGCTCACAATCATGTTATTCCACAATTGTGCTCTGGTTGTGGGACTATTTATGACCAGCTTTTTCTCATTAATGTCAAGTGTCTGGATCCAATTAGAGCAGGACACTTGCACTGAGACTGTGGCTGTGTTTTTTATTGACAGAATCATTCTTTGGCCCCTGCCCTGTCCATAGTGTGATAATGGCACATGCTGTTTATGTTATATAATCTGTCATTAGCTCTGGTCATGAGAATGCATAATATATGTGATGACAAACATCTCCATCCACAGCACTGAAGACTTGAACCAGGCGCCTGCTCTAATGAGCTCCTGCTACTTTTACTATGACTATTTCAGCTCTTGCCCTATTCTTCTGTTTTTATACATGTTTTATTATTGTCTGATGATGTCTCACTGACACAATCCAGCGTACAACAGACAAATACACTCCTCCAGTTCTGTTCAGAACTGTTAGATTCAGAAATATTTAGACCCACACATGTTCGCCATTTTGATACAGATACAGTGTTTAAAATGTAAAAAATAAAGAATGTTCTGCCAAAGACTGAATACATGCTCACCCTGCACTCCTCCTCATGATTTCTCTGTTTACACTTTAAATCAGTCACTTATTTATGTCAGTACAAACCTTTGTTTAAAAAAAAATTCTGCAAAAATAAAGATGTTTTTACATATCATTGTGCTGTCAAAATCAGTATAGAGCAATTTCCTTAAAATGGGAACACACTTGATAACTTACACTGATCCATGTTCTAATGTAGTTTCCTCATCACAAACACACCTGTGTGTTGAGTTTTGTTTCATTCACACATGTTTAACACACAAACCCCGTGTATTTAGGCTCTGTTCTCCCTTGTGATGTGATAATACAGGAAGTGCTCCACTGTGTTTTTAAGATCTGTACACCCTTCACTGGAATCATTTGACAATTTCAGCCCCGGGATTGCCAATCTCCACTAAACAAAAGGTGAAAGGTGCTGTTGACTTGAAAACTACTGCTTCATGAATCACAAGGTGGAACAGAGCATTTAGAAACTCATAATAATAAAAACAATGATTATTATTATAATGAAAGAAAACACAACTCCAGGTCTGTTTTTGAGGAGGTCACGACATACAACAACAACACAACAGGACTCACAGCCAGTATTGGGGAGTAACAGATTACATGTACCAGAGTTATGTAATCAGAGTACAAATTATGAGTAACTGTATTCAGTTACAGTTACTGTTTCAGTGAGTGGTAATTGGATTACAGTTACTTTGTTGAAATAAATGGATTACATGGCGGGATTTTCCTGTTTTCATTCATTGCCGGACACTAATCCAGGTCTAAACCAGGTCTAAACTAGGACTAAACCAAGACTAAACCAGGACTAAAACCAGGTCTAAACCAGGTCCAAATCAGGTCTAAACCAGGTCCAAACCAGGTCTAAACCAGGTCTAAACCAGGACTAAACCAAGACTAAACCAGGACTAAAACCAGGTCTCAAACAGGATTTAACAGGACTAAATCCTGCTGTTTGGACGTGTCTCCTCGTCTTCTATCAATAATATTTTTAATATGGTTCAGTAAAGTCTGGGCTTTTTATTTTCTTTTAGCAAACAAAACATCTTATGTTACGATATCCTCGTCTTTGCTTCTCTACAGCAAATCAAGTAATCCAAAGTATTCAGATTACATTACCCACTTTAAGTAATTTAATGGATTATGTTACAAACTACATTTTGGGGTATGTAATCTGTAATCTGTAGGGGAATACATTTTAAAAGTCACCTTCCCAACACTGCACACAGCTCATGAGTCACTTTGGTGTAATCTAGGACTTTAAAAGCAAACTGGATTTTTGTAGACGATTATAAAATTGCTAATACAGGTATTTTTTTAAATCAGGCTGTATTTGAATCCTGGCTCCGCGTAACTTTTCAGGAGGAGGGTCCTGCTGATTTCCAAGGAGATGTGATTCATTTTTCTTAGAATCTTCCACAATACGGCGTTAAATTCATCTCTCTCCATGGAGACGAGCAAAGGATGTTTTCAAAGCAGATTACACAGGCCACTCCGCTCACAGTACGAGGACGTGTTTTTCAAGGTATTTCTGAGCAATAAAATCTCCCTATACTGAAATAAATGCACGACAGACCAATCCAGTCCACTTTACTTCTACAGCACTTTTTATAAACATCACAGTTTCCAAAGTGCTGCACAGACAAATGAAGACAATAAAAGACAGTAAATCATAAATAAAACTATAAATAAAAAGTGTCAAAATGCATAAAGCTAAAAAAAATAAATAACAAATGAATACAATCAAATACAAAATACATAAATAAAATAAAATAAAATAAAATAAAAGGTGTGATAAAAAAAATAATAATAATAAAATAAAAAATAATGAAATTAAAATAGAATAAAATAAAAGGTGTGTTTTGTTTCATTCACAATTGTCTGAGTAAATTTCCTAAGCTTAAAATGCTCCGTTCCACCTTCTGATGTCATGGAGTGGTACTTCTCCAGTTCTTGTTAACAGCTTCTTTTCCCTTCAGGTCAGTCAAGATCAGCAGTTCCAGAGCTGAAATAATCCAAATGATTCTAATGAAGGTGTGTGGCCTTGTGTGGTTTAAACAGAGGAGCACTTCTGTATTACCACTTGATGACATCACAAGTTGGAACAGAGTAAATATGCAGGGTTTGTGTGAATGAAACAACTGCAGGTAACAACATATCACCAACATAGATCAGCAATTATCCTAATATGGACCATTTAAGGAATAGTAGGTTCAAATGGTGTTGTATAATGAACATGTTACTGCCCAAAGCTCCAGGACAAATCTTTAAAAATATTTCTGATGAAGTGTGTAAATCAGGGGTGTCAAACATACGGCCTGGGGGCTGGATCTGGCCCTCTAAGATCTTTAATGTGTCCCTCTGCTGATTTTCTACTAAAATATTTGAATTATATTTTCTATTAAAATCTTGTTAATTTTCTGTGGTGTTTATCACAGCAGCGTCTCCAGCGTCTCTGTACGTGGCCCCTCCCACCAGAGCAGCACAAATGAAGACTTGTCTCTTTCCAAACGCTCTTAAAGGACGATCGTTTTGACTGTTGACCGTGACACCCTCATCAGAAAAATGTCCAACATGAGAAAAGTGGAGCCGAGTGCAGGATTTTACAACAAAAATTGAATTATTCCTATTTACATACAAGCATTTTTCTTAAAGTTTCAGGTTGTTCATAATATTATAATATTTTATAAAAGAAAGAGTTCATCAGTTAAAAAAAAAATCTGTAATAGATTTGTGTTTCTCTGCACAAATATTTGAACTTATTGTTATTTTTGGGGTTTATATGACATGAGTTTTCTGATCCGGCCCCTTTGGGATCAAAGTCGGTTGGATACGGCCCCTGGACCAAAATGACTTTGACACTCCTGGTGTAAATCGTCCGCTCCCACACGCCTGTCTGTGTTTCCGCCTGTCGTGATTGTACTGTGTTCATATGACCATTAGGGGGCGCACATGACAGATCTGCTCCACTGAGGTGCTCTTAGC